TTCTTTCACTTTTTTATTTCTTTTTTTTTTTAAGATTTAAAAAATTTATTTATTAGAGAGAGAGATAGCGAGAGACAGCAAGAGCCCCAGGGTTGGGGGAGAGAAGCAGGCTCCTTGCCACCAGAGGCCTGACACAGGGTTCGATCCCAGGACCTTGGGATTATGACCTAAGCTGAAGGCAGATGCTTAACCAACTGAGCCACTCAGGCACCCCTGACTTTTTTATTTCTGTCAAGGGGAAATAACTACTTACTTCATCAGGTTTTTGTGAAAATCAAATCACTTCCAAACTATATAAAATGTTAATTGTTTCCATTTTTTGCTATTATTGGCTAATTTGAGAACCATATGTATCTTTTTACAATGCCTGAGTTTCTGAATTTGACTATTTGCAATTGTAATTTTTTCCATTGTAAGTGTTAGTTACCACTGTACAGAATATGTTATCCTTCAGATTTGCAAGTAAGAAGTAGTGCAAATAGTTGATATTCTTGCCTTCACTTTTCCCATGTGGATACTTTTAAACTTAAGGTACTGCATACTGACTTGGGATCAGTATCTTTTATACCAAAGAGCTTTTAATTTTTTTCAGGATCTATGTAATATCTAATACAAGGGACTATTTAGGCACTTCAGGGAAGAGAAAGATTTAAAGGACACTAACCCTAGCCCCCAAGGAGAAATAAAGTGAACATTTATGTTCTTTTCTATGTTTTTAAAAATCTGTGTTGTCAAAGGTCTTGAAAGATTGTTTTCCCGGCAAGACTCCTCAGCTGAACAAAAGGCATAAAGTTGTAATATTTCCATTATTGTAGGTGTTCATAGCTTTACTAGTAGTGAATGATGAGTTAAGTATTTAATTTGAAGCTTATGATCTGAAGTTGATACACAATTTTAAAACATCCACAGCATTCAACTGTTTGTTCTAATGTCCTGTCTTTGTATTATAAAAAGCCCTAATTGGTTTTATTTTGCATCCTTTTCAAAAGATTTAGGCTTAAATAAAGTCAGGTAGACTCAACTAAACAAGTTTTCCCTGTTAGACTTTTTTTTTTTTTTCTTTTTTCAAGTTTTCTGAAACGAGGAGAAAATCCAGTCATAAACACCTGATGTTCATGTCATTTGTACGTGAACCCATGTTTGTGGTCAACTGAAATTCATATGACATTTGGTTGTTTTTTTCTTGAAAGGAATTTCTGCTTCAGGTAGAAAAGATTCATAACCCGAATTTCTTCTGCTCTAATCGGTTCTAAGGAAGTAAATTGAGGACATGCACACACACACAACACTCTATCTGAATCCAAGCTCTGATTTATGCTTGCAGAATTTCAATAAAATTATTTCTTGTTTTCTGTAGAATTTTGATTGATTAAGGTCATTCTACCCTTAATTTAAGAGGAATGATAAGAACTTTGAAAGGTCAGATTTAAAAGGTTATGAAATTTAAGGGTGACCACTTGATATTTGCTAGTGTTGAAATACAAGTTTATTAGTTTCAGCAGGTATAAGCTGAAAGATGTTGCCTCTTCTATATTGATTAGCTGTTATAAATAAAATTGCAGGAAAAAATCACAGTAATTCAGACAAACAAGAAAAGGTTTTCTGAATGAATAAAAATTCAGAATTCTAGAATATTTTAAAATTAGATTTTACTAATTTTGATAAAATAGTAAAAGTTAGCTAAGAGAAGTCCTTAGAAACCTTAATGAATAGGCAGGAATAATTTATAGTTAGAATATTGATAGTTTACAATTAGGTGACTTCTAAAATTCCTGGCGTGCCTAACAACTTGTTCTAAAATAACTCTCCCCCAGCTTTTCACTTTTAATTCATTGGGTAAGTCCTTTCTTAATAGTAAACAGACAAGTTTCACACAGCTTCAGTCCTGAAATCTATCATTTTTTTTGGCAAACGTCAAAAGTTAAGATTTTCCCCTCATATTGCTATATGTTTCTATCATTTGAGTTCACTTTCACCAGCAGAGGAAATCAAAACACAAAACATCATAGTAGAAACTCAGGGCTATAGACAGAGGAGACATTGGGAATGAGGCTGGAGGCCGGAGGCTTCATTGGGGTTTTAACATGATTCTGTCAGAGCTTCTTTTTCACTTTGACCTGAGAGTTGACATCTTGTAGAATCCTTGAAGATGTGTCAGAAAGTTTTAATCAGAGTTAAAATCTTTATATAAGATTACCTAGGAAGGAAATCTTATTTCTACCCTTAGTTAAATTATCCTACCCTTATTTTAAGAAAACTTCGAGGCTTGTATAAGGATAAAGTGAGATAATGGGTATGATGAAATGAGATAATGTATATGAATATACTTTATAAACTATAAAGCACTGGGGTGACTGAATGGTTCAGTCAGTTAAGCATCTGCCTTTGGCTCAGGTCATGATCCCAGGGTCCTAGGACTGAGCCCCGCGTTGGGCTCCCTGCTCAGCAGGGAGCCTGCTTCTCCCTCTCCCTCCATCCCTCCATCAAACCCCCGCCTGGCTCATGCTTGCTCTCTCTTGCTCTCAAATAAATATATAAAATCTTTAAAAAATTAAAAATAAATAAAAATAAACTATAAAGCACTATAGAGATTTATGTATTATGAACTGAGCACTGTAATTTTTTCATAGAGGTGCTTGTTTCTTGTAACACCATTTCCTTTCTTTCACTTAGAAGTGTCAGATTAATGTGGTTAATATTTTTTTAAGGTTTTATTTATTTGAGAGCACGAGTGAGAGAAGGAGCAGAGTGAGAGGGGGAGGGAGAGAGAATCTCTCAAGCAGAACCGGAGCCTGATGTGGGGCTCGATCCCATGATCCCAAGATCATGACCCAAACCAAAACCAAGAGTTGGATGCTCAACCAACTGAGCCACCCAGATGCCCCAAATGTGGTTAATATTTATCAAATGCCTAATATGTGCCGATGAAAACCCTATTAATAATTGAAATGCTAATTGTTCTCTGTATTTAAGTAGAATCTATTATTATATCTATTTAGATATTATTTGTTACTTTCTTTTTAAAATTATAGAGGTCATGTATGAATATATTCTCTCTGTAGAAGACTCAAGGATGCCAAGTGATAGAGGGAAAAGTGAGAAACGCTGTCTCCAATACCCCTTCTCTTTCCCTCTCCAGAGGTAGCCAACATTTGGGTCATATCTGTATAGTCTTGTTTTCCTTACATTTACATTCATATATATATGTGCTTTAAAAAAAAAATCAATGGAATTATACTGCAGTTTATAGTTTTCACTTGACAGTAGATCTTGGATAGCTTTCCATGTCAGTATATACAAGTCTTCATTATTTTGGACAAATGCACAGTATTCTAGAATATTATAACATAATTTAAAATGTAAGATCCATGAGAGCAGGAACTCAGTTTTATATTCTGATATGAGTCTGGTGCCTGGAACAGTAAATAATACTGTTGTGAAAGTGCTTGCCTATCCCTCCCCAAGTGCATGTGAGAATCATTTCCTAGGGAGATAGCTGGATGTATTTTTGAAGACCACATTTAGTTACATTATCTTCTAGTTTCTAGTGTTGCTGGTGAGAGATATACCAGTTTTATTCTGGTTTTCTGTGCAGGTAACCTGTTTTTGTCTCCCAAAAAGGTTCAAGGACTTCCTCTTCACCTGTAGTGTTCTGATAGTTTATAACAGTGTGTCTAGACAGATGTGGGTTTTTTTTCACTCATCCTAATCAGCACTCATTGAATCTTTTAAACTGCAAAGACACTCCTTTTTTCAGCTGTGGAAAACATTTTTTCTTCTGTCTTATTGTTTTTTCTCTATCATTCTTCCTCTTCCTTCCTTCTGAGACTCCTCTTGGGTCAGTGTTAAGTTTCTGGATATATCTTCCATGCTTTTTAACCTTTCTCTTTCACTTTCTCATTTCATGGGATTTGGAGCAGGAAGGGAGATAAATAAATATGTTCTATTTGCTATCTCGATCCAGTTTCCTGACATAGTTCCTTTTATCCCATAAGGCTGACTTTTTACAAAATGTCTGTCATTTCATTTGTCTCGACAATCTGTTCCTAAAAGAACGTGAGTCATATTTTATAATAATCAATGGAAGGTTGATATTGCTTAATATACTTTTGTTTTACAGTCAGATTTTTTTGAAAGATACCCTCTTTAAAAAAGGTAGTGCCATTTAAAAATTAGACTCCCTTGCCTTGTGCTCTTGGGAGTGAGCCCAGTCACATTAAAAAATGTGTTGGTATCTCAATCACTCATCAGGTCCAGGCAGCTCCAAGTGCTGGTAAAGACCTTGATGCTTCTCCAGATGTCTGTTCTAAGTGTTAGCTCCAGGTGCAGCAAGCAGAATATTTGGAGCTGGCACATAGATTCTCAGCCACTGAGTATGACTACAAATCAAGTTGTAGGACATTGGTCTTCTAGAATAATGGTTCACAAACGTACTTGAGCATCAGAATCACCTGTGGCACTTTATGAAAATATAAATGTATGGGCCCTCTGTTGGACCTGTCAAATCAAAATCCTGAAGGGAGTGGGGCTGGGCTTCTGCATATCTTTAAAGGCTCTAGAGGTTATGCTGGTATGCAGCCAAGGACGAGAACCACTGTTCTTGGAGACCCTCTGTGTGTATTTTCTCCTCGTGCCTTATTTGGAAAAGGAAAAAAAAAAAAAAAGCTATCCAGCATTCTTTGGTACAGATGTGTCATAATTTACTTAACTGGTACCCTCTTGCTAGACATTTAATTTGCTTCTAATTTTCTATTATTACAAATTACTCTAATAGATCTTCTGATATCTATAACTTTGCATACATTTGTGGATATAATCATGAGATAAATTCCAAGAAGTGGAATTGTTCAGGCAAAGGTTATGTGTGTTTGTGAATTTGAGAGAGATGTTTTTTGTCTGTGAAAAGATGCCTTTTAAGTCTTCAGGCATTATTATGTTCTTAGACTAGAAATATTCTTACATCTTGGAAGTCCTTACATTTTGTTTTCATTTCTAATTAGGCCAGTACTAAGGTGGAAGTGGACATGGAGAAAGCAGAGAGCCTGCAGGTGACAAGAGGAGACTTCCTTGCTTCTTTGGAGAATGATATCAAACCAGTGAGTATGGATATTGAGTGATTCAAGAGAAAAGTAAATGCCATTTTAGTCAATATTCTGTAAGGTTATATCATACATACTTTTAAAAATCAGGAAATCTCAGTACTGGAAGTGTCCAGTGTGAGAAACATTTGCACATTAATGCTGATAGCTGGGTAATTAATCAGTACTTAATTAAAATTATTTCTCATGATAGGGAGATTGCCATCTCATAACACTTGGTATTGTCAGACTTAATTTTTGCCATTCAGTTGGATGTAAAATTAAATCTCATTTTATTTTTGATTTGCACATCACTGATTACTTATGAAGTTAAGCATCTCTCCATATGTTTATTGGCCATATGAGTGTCTTCTGTGAAATGCTGTTCATGTCTTTTGCCTATTTTTCTGTTATATTGTTTATTCTTTATTTTTATTTGGCCTGTATAAGTTGCTTTTATATTCTTGACAATAATTATTTGTTGCAAGTATCTCGTTTAAAGACAAAAATCAATTTGTTTTAGCCCTGTCTACTTTATGACTGTGACTTTTAAATATAAAATAATTACTTTCAAAAGTTATCGAGCAATGGAAATAATTTAATCTTTTGCTGCTGTCATCCGTAATAGTTACCAAAAATATTAGAGCCCAGCCTAACTGCTTTATGCCAAGATTTTTTTAATGATGAATAATTTGGCCACCAGGAAGGGGAAACTAAGATAACTTACTTAGTTAAGTAATTAATGACTTACTTTTATTTATTGCACGGGTCTGGGGGATAAAACAGAAAATAAAATGACAGAATATGTAAGGAAGACTGCTACATATGGTTAGACTTGGCCAGGGGGTCACTGTTTCCTGGTTCAGGTATCTTGCTCCTGCTGTTGTGAGGCTTGGAGTATATACTTGGAATCATTAAAGACAAAAGCCAGCCAGTCTACATATTTCCTACAGTAGCCATCCAGCCAGTGCTTCCTAGACTCCTCCTTTATAACTTTTTACAGGGCCACTCAGTTCCCATATCCAGAACAGGGAATGATAACTTTCTTCTGTATTCAGGGATCAAAAGACTAGTGTGTGCAAGGACGAGAGGGTGGTGTGCAAAGTGATTTGGTGGCAAAGTAACAGAGTAATGAGACCACTGTATAATGTTAAGAGACAGTATTACAGAGAATGATTTTCTGTGAGGTACAAGTTCTAATGTTAAAATCATTCCATATGTTGGGTAATGAAAAACTGACTTTTTGAGGGATGTGATAATTTTTTAAAATTTGAAATTCTCAAGATATGTGACCCTTAGATTATGTTGGGTTATGTTTTCTTACTCATTTCTTCACTTGTTAACCTTATGAAAACGCAATTCAATTAAGTCACTAAGTGCTAACGTTACTGACTTTTCTTGGCAGCTGGTTTGTTGGGAGTTACAATGTGAAAGTAGAAGTTGAAAATGAAGAGGGATGTGATTTAAGCTCTAATATGTAGCAAGCACCCTTAAGATTATTATTTATAGTAATTGCTTTTATTTCCTTTTTCTCCTACTTCAGTCTTTCAGTATAGCTGCTCCTTCCTACCTCATTCTAAATCTTATATTTACAAACCTAGGCTTACGTTGCTGCCATTTAACATATGTCCCCTGCTACCAAGCTGATGTGGACCAGATCTTCTCATTACCATTTCATTTTCCATTTTAATCCGAGACACCTACCGTCAGTGTGAAGATAGTATCTCCGTCTGCTGAGCCAACTGCTTCTAAGTCCATAACCTCTTTTTCTCTTTGTTCTTAACAGACGGCCACAACCAATGTACTCCTTACAGAAACAAGCACGTTGAAACTACCCTTTCTCAGGGATCATGAGGGCTTGGGCTCTTGTAGAATCTGACCCTAAGATCTATGTTTTACTCCATTAAGTCACCCAAAGTAACTCCTCCACCACTGGGTACAAGGTTAAATGAGAAGTTATAAAATAATGGGTTTTTTGTTTTTCCTTTTCAAGCTTTTTACATTAATATGGGATACTGCTCAACACTTTTAGTGTGTAGAAATTATTACTTATCTTTTGTACCTTTAAGTATTTTAGTTTGTATACTAACACTCAAAATGCTTTAAATTATCCTTTTCCTCCATAGGCATTTGGCACAAACCAAGAGGATTATGCAAGTTACATTATGAATGGTATTATCAAATGGGGTGATCCAGTTACACGAGTTCTAGAAGATGGGGAGCTGCTGGTTCAGCAGACTAAAAATAGTGACCGCACGCCACTGGTTAGCGTCCTTTTGGAAGGTAAGAAAGAATGAGGAGATGGCATTAAAAGTAAGAAAAAAAAACTTTTGCAAAGTTATTTAGCACATTCCAGAAAAATGAATTATTTTCCATTCTAAATCTATTCATAATCTAAAAATAGTAATCCAGTCTATGTATAAATATTGTGCATAAATTAAAATTTTCTTGGGGTAGAATGTTACTGATGAATGATAGCAACTAGTTTTCTTGTGGGATTGTATCTAAATTTCTGTTACTTAATAGACTGTATGCTACCACAGAGTACTTGAGTTAATTAAATAAATATCCACTGAGTGCTATGTTATATAATAGACAGTACATAGTACTTGATTCAATTAAATAAGTATTCATTGAGTAAAATGTTTTAGGCATTGAACCGGTTGCTGGGGATACAAAGACATTCACAGAGTTCAGTCTGGTCATGAAAAAAAGACACGTAAACAAATTCTTAACTACAGTATATATGTGTAAAGGTGTATGTGAATGCAAGTCATTTTGCCCAGGGATGATCAAAGAAAGCTAAAGGTGGTGTTTAATTTTAGACTTTGAAGGATTAGTTAGAATTTTACCAAGTAGACGGAAAGGCAGGGACATTCTATTCCCTAGTTACTTGTTTACAGTTATGATTAGTACAACAGAAAGGTTTGGTGAGTCCACATGACAGAGGAATCTAACTCCTTCCAAAGTCTGCGAGTGAGGGCCTCCTGAAACACATTAAGCCAAGACCTGAAGGATGAGGAGAAGCTGGCCCAGCAAAGGAATTGGGGAAGATTTCTAGCTAGAGGGACCGGCATGTGAAAAAGGCCTGGGCGGGAAGGGGATTGAAACAGAAAGGGACATTGGCTAGACATGAAACTGAAGAAGTAGACAGGAGCCAGTTCTTACATAGCCTTATAGACCATATTAAAGATTCAGTCTCTGTCTGAGGGGCAATGGAAGCCATTTGTAGGGTTTTAAGCAGTGAAGTGACATGATAAGATTTGTATTTTCAAAACATCATGACTGCTTTGTGGTAGAGAATAGATTGGAGGGTCAGAAAAGATACAGGAGAAACCAATGGTTAGAAGCAGCTGCATTAATGCATCTTTTTTTTTTTTTTTTTTTAAGATTTTATTTATTTGAGAGAGAGAATAGCGACAGAGCATAAGCAGGGAGGAGAGGGAGAAGCAGGCTCCCCACCAAGCAGGGAG